AAGTCTGGTCAAAATCATACAAAAGCCTAATAATTTATCAAGCTATACCTTTTTCCTTAAGGGACCATTTTCTATCATTATATCATCACTAAACTGATAACCCCTCACTCAATTAGTTGTTTTATTTGAGATATTTCATATTATATTCAATGTATAACAATAATAATACAGAACAACTGAAGGACGTCTGTGTAAAATGTGAGCAGATTATATCCTATAAATATTGATCAGATTTAATTTAATAATAAGAAGTTTTTATACAATTCTGTCTGTATTATGTATATTTATAGATTTTTTTTTACAATCATACAGACATAATAGGCTTATTTTTTGACAAATTCAATGTTTTCTTCTCCCTGACGCTTGTTCTATCAGCTCTTTGGTTGTTATAACAGCGTACCTTTTAAATGTAGGACGATGAGATATAGGCTTAATATGTAGGCTATAGTTTCTCAACATGCATTAAAACCCCCAGTGAAGCTTTGGCGACCCCCAGGGTGGGAACCACTGCTTTATTCAATAAAAACCTGAACTAAAAGTACAACACTAGCTGCTAATATTCAGAACAAGCTGTGATTTGTGACCTGTTCTTCTTTGGCCCTCAACCCACAGCTCAACTTAGAGGAAACACAGTTTATAGAAACATATGAAATAACATGAGAAACACATGTGCCTGGTCCCGTTTAAGCATTTATTTAGATTGTGCAGCGAAATCACTAAATGGTTGCATCAGTATACATGATTCAGACATACAGAATTTTAAAATAAGACAGTTTGTAATCAAATTTGCAGTCTCATTCTGTCTGAATGTCTGTTATTGGAGTAATAAACATTTGTTTATCTCGGCTGGTTCCTGCAATGATGACATTATCTTGCCAAGGATGAGAGTCAACCTCCCAGAAGTCTCAAGAGTTCACAATGATGATCAATTTTATTTCTTAAAAGGGAATCAGTTGCGTTTACAGCCTCTTTATTTGGAGCATCTTCCAATGAGAAAGTGTTACTGCAGCTATGCCGTCACATAACCATGAAACTGAATACATACAGTACAAAAACACATGAGCCTAATGGACGGTTGAATAATAAAAAGCCTCTCTTCATGTGGTGCCACTGGAGCTGTGAGAGACCACACTGAGAGTCTGAGCTGTTATATTTCGCAGTATGATGAGAGAAAGCAGCGTAGATTAAAAGGATCATTCTGGAGATGTTCTGTATTTTTCTTATTGTCAACAAATCCCACGAAAAGAGCAAAACCAACAATGAATTGATCCTATAAACAAGAATTATCTTGTAAGTGGCTCAGAGCTTAATTTTTGACTCACCGCTGAAAATAGTCCCTAACAACTATTTCCTCCTGTTTGAATGATGTTTGATAAAAACTAGTGAGTAGCTGTTTGAGGGAATTAATGAACCTTTTTAAAGAATTAACTATATATGTGAGCTTTTTTTGTGTCTTCAGTTGAAACAAATGGGCGCCTTTGGTCTTTTCATGGAATTTGACGACAAACAAATTAAAGAATATCAGCAGCCTCATTCTTTAAGATTGTAGAAATCCAGACAATTTATAATATTGATACAAATGTGTAGAAAAAAGTATTGAATTATCTAAAATATTCCAAGTACAGAGATTTTTGTCATAAAGCAGCTGGTAAATATGTAAAAGTGGAATGAAACATGGCGGCTCTTTCAGTGTTTGAAGTCTTCAGCATCCTCTGACACACTGCCGAGTTACAAAATGAGTCTTTTGGTAATGGTGCTGTTTGAGCTGCAGATGCACAATACAAGTTATCTTTCTATTCCTATCAGCTGATATCGGTTTTCATTTTTTCCAAAAGTCTGTAAAAATGAGGGACTAAGAGAGAGATTAACCTAACTGAAGTTTTTATAAAAAGTTCATGATACGTTTTATCAGCAGCTAATTCAGCGTCTGTATAAAGTGATATATTTCTAAACATCACCAAAAAAAAAAAAAATCCACAATGGGTGAAGCTAAAAATCTTTAAATAATATTAAAGGTCCCTTCTAGAACATTGGTTTCTCAGATGTTAGAATTTGATGCTTTTGTTAGACAGAGATCAGATTTGGTCGAATAAAACAAGCAATATGAATACATCTCCTTTGGTGGTTGGTTGCAGTCCGAGAGCCTTCAGCCAGAGAGGTGACAAATTAAAGAAGAAATCTGAATAAATGAGTGCAGATGTTTCCATACAGGACACTTAACGTTGGTTTCTCTTTTAATTTGTCAGCCATCTGTAAATACTGCAGGTGTATCCCAGTTCAGTTCTTTCATTTATAGCTGATATCTAAACTCAAAGTTAAATTATACAATAAAAAAATGCTTTAACTGCCTGTCAGTGTTACAGAGTCTCAGTCACAAACATGATTAATGTAGAAAACATCTGGAGACCCTGTTAGCACTGTGCTACTCCGTCACATCATTAAACCTCACTTCAGAGAAGCAGGAGGATGCTGGTTCTCTTCGATCCCCCCAGAATTTAGAAAAAGATACAGACTATATAAATTTTAACCGTTATTTTTTTTGTGGAGTTGTTTTTGTTGTTTTCTGATTCCGAAACAGATAACGAGGAGACAAACGATGACCCAGCATCTCTGGCCTTTATCATTTATTCTGCAGGTATTCTGGAGAGCGCGGAGAGTTTGTGGACACAATCAGTTGGCATTCTGGTTCATCTGAAGATACTCATTGTGCAGTTTCTCCTGGGCCTCGTAGAGCTTGCGCAGCTTCTTGGCTTGTCCCTTGCTCAGCTCCTTCCCTTCGACATCGTGACTGGGGAAACCCTGAAACAACGAAACAAGTACAGTTCTGATTAAATAAATATTAACCCAATTTCCAGAAAATCGGCAAAAGAAAACTCAAATGAACACATGGAAAGAGCAACGTAACCACACTTTAGAGCACTTGTACCCAACCTTTTTCCTTCAGGGACCCCTTTTCTACCACTGAGTAAACTAACAACCCCTGAATAAGTGACAGGTTTTATGGATATTTCAGTAAGTTTGTGTAAAACGAGCAATTTGGATGAATTTTGAGCTGATCATTTCCTGCGAATATTGATCAGAGATGAGTTTTCCTGATATTTTAATAAAATTTTGTCTGTATTGTGTGTTTTTAATCATTTTTAACAATTATACAGACTTAATAGAATTCTTTTATGACAGATTCAGTGTTTTCTTCTCATTGTTCTATGTCCTCTTTGGTTGTTGAACTTTTCTAATGCAGGACGAGGCTGTTTATCAGAGAGGCTCTGTGAATGTAGCTCGTGTTCAGATCAGAGTTAACATCTTAAATATTATATATCAGTATATATATCAATAACATCAACTTTAAAAATAACTTAAAACACTTGCTGAGACTCAACGCCTAAAAGATAGTTTGAAACAGTCAAGTTTCAAACAATATACACAATCTGAGTGCGAGGACTACAACACAATTCAAAGTTTTCCAGGATATTTGGTCGTTTTAATCAATTTCCAGGTGTTTCCATGAGTTTCCATGAGTTTCCATGACTGGAAAACTAGTCTCTAAATGTCCAGATTTTCCAGGAAGTGTGGGAACCCTGCATAGGTCCTGCCTTCAAGAAGCCCTGCTTTGAATATTTCTTTCAAAATTCAGAGTCTGAAAGAGGGTGAGGGATTTACCATTTCATCAAATTTGGAATACTTGTCAGTTTCTGCACGAAACATTTCACATGGAGGGACCTTCATCTTCTCCAGTTTAGCCATCTGAAACAGTGAAAGATGTGAGTTAGTGAACATGTTCATTATCAGAGGAACAAAAGAAATCTTCTTCTATGTGGAACCATCTGATTGACCTCTTGTTCTTGTTTCTTCCTGGCAGCCTCTTCCTTCTTCTTTTTTTTCTCTTCTTCCATCTGATGTTCACAGATAATTAAGAAGAAATGATTAATATAGTTCAGACATTATTGGTTGAGAGTTATCGGTTTCCAGTTTCTGCAACTTTAATCCTGCCTCACCTGCTTCTTCTCCTCTCGCTCCTTCAGTAACGTCTCCTTGTCCACCAGTTTGACCACAGTGGGCAGGCCTGCAACATCAAGAGTCAGACTCAGTATGGGACTAGAAGCACATTTATTTTCAGAAAGTATTACTGTGTCCATCCTAGTTTTCCCTTTTCAATCACGTCAAGGATGCCAGAGTCGCTTGTTTGAACAAAATGAGATTAACTGTATATGAAAAAGTCAATTTAATACTGATGCCTCTGTATGAAATACATAAACACACAAGACCATCAGTGAAAAGATTAATTATTTCTATATATAGTTATTTTTAATGCCTGCCACCAGGTTACCCCTTGAAATCAATGAAATGAGGCGGTACAAACACTACCGCTTTCGTCCACAGGGGCGCTAGAACCAACACAAAATTAACTTTCCTTGTAATTTACCCGGCTTTAAGTTTCAGTCTCAACAGAAAATCTGCAAAATAAAACCCAAATTAAAGCAGGTTTTTGCACAGAACGATCATGCAACATTTACTTGGAAATTCAGGGTAGAGCTGCAGTGATCGGTCAATTAACTGATTATTTGTCAACTATAAATGAATCCCCAAAATATTTAGTAATCGAACATAGTTTTAGTAATTTTATAAAAAAAAAATGTCAAAATTCTCCCATTTCAACTTAAAAAATTTGAATATTTTCTATTTTCTTTAGTCCTCTATGACAGTAAACAGTATGTTTGGCTTGTGGACAAAACATAACATTTGAGGGCATCACTTTGGGCTTTGGGAGACAGTGATCAACACAAAACGAAAGCTCCTTGTAGAAGCTTTAAATGAAGTTGGTTCAAAGTTCATTAAACTGTAACAGAAAAAGATAATGTTCTTTTCCTCATCATTATTTTTGCTTTAGAGGTCAGAATATTAAAGTTTACCTTCATGATCTTCCAGTCGGACTCCCAGCTCGGGTAATGTATCATTGCGGACAACGTCACACAGCTGCAGCAACTCCGTCACTAGATAGGATTAAAGTGTTATGACGCTTCAACCGTCTCTGATTCAACACTTACATGAGATTTATATATTATATTATATATTTATATTAGCATCTCTGGAGAGTCAAATTAAAACACGAGTCCTCACCTTTTTGCTCGCGGGCAATCCTTCGGACACTCTCCCTGAAATCTGACAGCACGGAGAGGTACGGCATCACTGTGCTCTCCAGCTGGAAAACACAACGCCGTCAGCTTTTTATAGCATGTGATGTTATTATTATTATTATTATTATTATTATTATTTAAAGACATTTGTTTTGACAAAAGATTATCTGAAATCTGAAACAGACATTTAATTTAGACATTCAATAGAAGGAAATCCTTAACATCTGGGCGAGGCAGGTGCAGGATATCAGAGCTTTTGTTTGCTAACTAGATTGACTTATTATGGGATGTTAGGAACAGGATGTACGGAAAAGTGAGCTTAACACAATGAACAGAGTCTCTTTACTTACGTCCACATTCTGACTTTGTCCTCCCATTGGGAAACCGATGGACTCCGATTCTTCAATGGCACCAAATATCTAAATGACAACAGACTCATGTCACGCTGCTTTTATTGCTCATATAAAACAGCACAAGGAATTTTTGTATTTTAAGATTTTGTTTCTCTTTTCAAGACGAAAATCTGTTGTTCACAAAGTACGCCGGCCTTTTACCTGCACCTTGAATCTGCCTTTGTGTATGAAACGTGCTTTATAGATCATACTGCCTTTCCTTGCCTAATATTAACCTTTTAGCCCACAGAGGTCAGCCTGACAGCACAGTCAGAAAGTCTCACCTTCAGCATGTTGGTGAGATACACGGCGATACTTTCCATCAGCATGCGGTTGGGCCTCAGCTTGGCGCTCTTCCTGCTGGCGATGTAGCTGTTGCTCTGGCTGACCAGGACTCTCATCTCCTCCATGGCGGTGCGAGTGTCCACGTTGTCACACAGAGCCTCGTGGACGGCGGACTTCCTGTTGTAGAAACTGGACAACACAAGTAACCATTGGCTTTTAGTCTAGAACTGGTGCGTCTGAACTCAGATGTGCAGATGAGACGGTGACGGGCTCCGGCGCTGCCCGCGGTGAGCAGAAGAGCTTGCGGTTTTAAAGGCAGTTATTCTTATTCCTCTCTCACCTGTTGTTGAGCTCCATCTCTACCTCCTCCCACTTCTCAAACCGACCGGTGATGTCGGTCGGAGTGCGCAGGATGTCTTTCACATTCAGGAAGAACTCCTGTTACATGAAAACGCAAAACAGCAGGTTAATAAAATAAAAGATTTAAACCACCTCTAAACTAAAAAGGCCCATTTGTCGTATCGTCACCTACATTCATGAACTTCTCGTACTGGACGGCTGACTCCATTGTGTTGGGGGAGTAGTCCAGGGTGTCTTTCCAGGAATGCATCAAGAAGGCCAGACGGAGCTGGCGAGCTGCAGGTGGACAAAAGAGGACGGTTAAACCAATATCTACTGCCTCCATTTATCTGACGCAGTAACAAAATACTAGTTACAAATCTTTTTATCTCTATAGACTCTAAGAAACAGAGGCTTGTGACAGGGCTGTACTAATGTCCAAATGAAGCTCTGACACATTTGGGGATATTTAGGCCACATGAATCACCTGAGTTCTTTGCCAGAGCGTCCTTAATTGTGATGAAATTCTTCAGAGACTTTGACATCTTGCAGCCAGCGATGGTCAGGTGGCCGGTGTGCAGGAAGTATCTGACCCAGTAATCATTCTCAAAGAAAGCCTGGGAGGGTAATCACCAACGGAGGTCAAAATCTGTGTTTTACTCTCTCTATAACTGCTGTGATGTCTTTAAATGCACCACAGTCATCACTCTGTGTAATGGGAGTAGTAGTTTCAATAACATTAATCAATAATAATGAGAGACTTTAGTACCTCAGACTGAGCCAACTCGTTGTCGTGATGGGGGAATCGAAGATCAAACCCCCCACCGTGGATGTCCATGGACTCTCCCAAGATAGAGCCAGCCATGGCTGAACATTCGATATGCCAGCCAGGCCTTCCCTGTGAGAACATCCAGGAAAACACAAAACAATCCATGATCAATCAATCATGTCATAGTCTTTTGGATTAAAAATCCATCTAGCAAGGGCATCTTGGGAAGTAAATATTGGAAGTTCTGTTGGATATCAGTTTAACGACACACCCACATTAAGAACGAACCCTCACCTTCCCCCATGGAGAGTCCCATGACGGCTCTCCGGGCTTGGACGCTTTCCACAAGGCAAAGTCATTGGGAGACTTTTTCTCACTTAATCTGTCAGCAGAGATGCTCAGGTCACCTAAAAGATACAATTTCATTCATGTTAAAGCCCCTCTGTGGAAGAGTGGAACATTCTTGACTTTGGCGATTACTTTTACCATCAGAATAATTTCAAATCATATAAAACTTCTACACATGGGGACATAAAAAAGCCTCTGATAGTCGAAATGTAGCAGACCTTCTCCCTCCTGTAACGCTTTCTGGTCTCCCACTGCCTCTGGCACCAGTTTGGCATATGAGTGGTGCGGACAGGCGTCAAACTTCGAGGTGTCAAAGTACACAGAACCGTTAGATTCATACCTGTAGACATCCGAAAAACAAGTGATTAAAATCTCCACTGTAATAACTGAGAATGTGTGTGAATATGAACTGTAAACGGTTTCCTCCTCACCCATAACCGTTGGAGACAACCTTCTCCACAAACTCCACGATCTCTGGAACGTATTCACTGACTCGAGTGAGAACGTCTGGGGGGAGAACCTGAAGATCATAAAGACAGTTTATACACAGAAACAACAACATAACAAGATCTACATTGTCATAAGTGTTGCCAACCTCGATGTCGGGACTGCATTTTGTTTATTTTTCTGAAGAAAATGAAATAAAATTGTATTTTTCTTTAAGTTGTAGATAGTTTGTATGATTGTTAAAACAGAAAATACTCATACAGACAGAGAAGTTACTAAAAATATCAGTAAAACTCATCTCTGATCAATATTCACCGGAAATAATCTGCTTCAAATTCATCCAAATCTCTGGTTTTATACAAACTTCCTGCAGTTATTGTGTTCACTGTTTGGGTTCATTGTGCAGTTCATCAGTTGTTATCTACTGTTATTGTTTTACATTGAATATAATATGAATTATCCATCAAATATGTCCCTTTGTCAGTTTACTAAATGATAGAAAAGAGGTCTCTTAAGGAAAACCACTGATCTAAAACATGATTGTGTACTGTTTGATTTTCTTCAGAGAATCTAAAGACTGAACTCTAAAGAAAAAATATCATTTTTGTATGACAAATTTAATTTTCACTTAAAAAAAACAATAAAATCATGATGATGTGACATTTGAGGCCAGGACTTCTCTTCAGCTCTACAGAACTTCATTATAATGCAGGCTGTGTTTATAGGACACATATTATTTACATATATAGAGGGAATTGCTGCATTAAGTTTGCTTTCCTTCTACTTACGTTCAGGGCGTCCATGTCTTTATGGTACTCTCCCTCCCAGTATTTAGGCAGAATGGAGAAGATTGAATTCTCTGTGACTTGACTTCCAAACTGTTTGTCCAACCAATCAGACAGCAGGTCCTTGGAATTCTCCAGCAGCACCTTAAAAACAGAAGAGCCTGGAAATCAGTATCCTTTTTAAAATAACTAATCAATTTACCTCGGTTTACTCTGACAGGATGTATAAATCAATCAATTAAAAGCAAATAATGAGATATTGTGAATTCTATGAGACTAAGTAAAGAAGATGTATTGTACTTCTGTTCACACTAGTAACTTATTCTGTTTATTCCAAATAAACTGTGAATTAGAGCTGCACAATGTGGTAAAAACTTCATATTGTGATAACTTTTTTACAGATACTGCGATTCCGGTATGATTTTTGATTATAGGGAATAATCATTTTTGTGTCAAAAATTTAATTTTCACTGAAAAAAACAATTAAAATGACGATGATGTGACATTTTTGGGGGTCTGTACCAAACAAACATGTTTTCTTACATCTGAAGAACAACATTTGTAGACCAGGGCTCCTCTGCAGCACTACAGTACTTATAATAGCAGCATTAACAGTATTATGAAGACCATGTGAGCTCAGTCTCACCTGAGCCAGAGGTTGGATGACCTCCGCTGCTGCTTTGCCCTCAATCGCCGCCTGCAGGGGCTGCAGGGCCGCTGTAACAGCCGCGTCCAGCCTCTCCAGCATCTGCTTCTTGTCGGGGTCTGTTGTTGAAGCCAAGTGCTCCTGAAAGGGCTGAAGACAGAGAGAGGAACACACATGTGACGACTGAGGTGGAAAGACAGAAACCTACAGGTAACCTGCAGGTATGGTGGTTTTAAGGAGAGATGCACTTTGTATGAATAGAAGCTTCTACAGTTAAACTTCTTGTATTGTATCAAAGGCTCATTGGGAGTCCGGTCTCACCCCTCTGGCACTCAGGACATCCTGCAGTACTTGAGCAGCTTGCGGCTGCTTCTCCTTGTACTGTTCCAGGAGGTAGTTCTGCCGAGCCCTTTTAATGATCTGAGAGAAAGAAAGACCGACATTAAGCCCACGCATGCAGAAAACATGGAAACATACGGACAGTTTACGCTGTTTGAAACTGTGAAAGTGGACATGCAGCTGTTTGCTTAAAGCCCCTATGAGGAACATATTTTATGTTGATTCTGGCGACCCCTGTGGACAAAAGCGGTAGTGTTTCTATCGCCTTAATTGATTTCAAGGGGAATCTGACTCGATGGCATTAAGAAAATAGAAATGGTCAAATCCGACTGATGGCCTTGTTTGTGTGGATATAAACTTTTTTTCAGATTTTTGATGTCAAGACATAAAGAAGTTTGACAATTTTATTTTAAGTAGCACAAATGATTACAAGAGAAAATAGGAAATATATTTCTATTAATTTATTTAATTTAATAAAAAAAGGTACAACCCAGTGAAGAAAAAGCCTTTGTTATAAATCAGACTTACTTTGTCATCTATGTCTGTGATGTTCATGCAGTAGAAGATATCATACTTGAAGTAGTCCCTCAGTATCCTTCGCAGGATATCGAAAGATATGTAGGACCTAAAGAGACAGATTATAAGATCTGTTATAACTGAAGAACTGAGCACAATTATGGATGAAATTCACATCATGAATACTTTTTATTTTGATCTGTTTACCTGGCATGTCCCATGTGTGAGGCATCATACACTGTAGGCCCGCAGGAGTACCAGGTTACTTTATTCCCTTTCTGAGGAACGAACGGCTCCTGAAACATAAAGACATAGATATAGTGAATGAAAACAGACCTTTTCTATGTGGATTGCGCACCGATATGACTCAAAGAAAGAACTTTGTTGAGGAAATTTTCATATCGGATAACATATACACCGAACCGATACCATAACGATATGTCTGCGATAGGCCAATAACATCAGCTGACCGATATATTGGTGCAGAGTCATTTTATTATTATTAACTGGAGGCTGCACCTATCTGACCTCTGTACCCATCTGACCTCCGCACACATACAGTGTGAGGTTACAATCAGATTAGGTTTCTTCGTTGATAGCTTCACAGTTTTAAGTTTGTTTGTGCTTTTTAAACCTTAAGGGGGCCAGTCAGGACCCTCTGCTGAACTATAAGATTTAATATTTGTCCCACGTCAAAAGCCACCAAAGAAAAACCATCATGTTTTTGCAGCTGTACAGTGATTTGAAACTGACTGAAACACACATTTGAGTGTAGTTCCATAATTTCTGATGAATAACTCTATTATAATGTACATTTTACACACAGAGGATGCCGTTATTGGAGTCTTGGAAAGCATGGATGCAGAACGCAGCGCTTAATGCGAGGACACAAAACAAGCTGCATGGGCGGCAGTTACAGACGCTTCCTGTTATTGACGCAGCCGCCACTCTGGCACTTTATTACTACCTTCTAAGGAGCCAACTAACAACCTTCCTCTGCCCTTGATACTACTATCTATCAGATTACAACTGAAATAGTTTCACATTCTAAATCACACACCACGCACACATCAAAAGAAGTCTGAAAATCAACTGAGACGAGTCATTGTCTTACACAGTGGACTTCCTTTACAGGATGCAGATAAAGATCCTGAAGTCTTATATGCCAACTGATCAGAAATCGCTCACAGTAGTACTGTCAATAAGAAATAGCTGGTTTAAACGTACAATATTTCATTTCTGCTGCTACATCAAAACAATAACAACAGACAAAGTTTGATGAGGTGGTGAAGC